CTCACACACAAACACACACACATACACACAATCGCCCTCACACACATACACACACACACACACACACACACACACAAACACACACTCACACACACACGTACAAATACATGTGTATTATACCACAACGCGCAAGAAAGGTTACCACAGTTACAAATTACAATGCATTTATGTATTCTGGTTACGCACAGAGCCATTATTTTCTTGATTACGCAATAACTAAATAATTCCCTAATACGGGGTGCCCATCACGGATGGGATCGGCGGGTCGGGCGATCATCGCCCGACTCGGTCGCCATGAAAACAAACGAGCCCGACTCGTAAAACAAACGGGTTTGCTTTCAGGCGACCGAGTCGAGCGGTCGGCCCCACCAGCCGTAATGGGCACCCCGTCTAAGTCTGTAGCATATCTCAGAATTCTCACCGTAGAGCATAAAGAAGCCATGAGCCTCTCCCAGAAAGTTGGAGCCGAAGCACTCGTAGTTCCCGTAGTCTCCCTTTCTCAGGTTGGAGATGCGCAGGGTTAGAGTGATGGAGTTCTCGACGTCATTCTTAAACACCTCGATGTCATACCTGAGACAGACGAAAACAGTGGTATGGTAGATATCCGAGTGAAAAACAAGTAAGTGCATGGGTTTAACACCCCTAGTAACACTGCCAGGCTATTTGTGAGGCAAGACCTCCCAATTTAACGTCCGTCTCCGATAGGACCGAGCCAAATGGGTTCAGAACCTTAAAAACTCCCCAAAACGACCCGAGTTCATGAACGTCCAGTCTGGGATTCGAAATAGTTTAGCCTGATACCAACTGAGTTAAAGGGGGCACCATGCCAGAGTGAAGATACGGACTTAATTAAGAGAAGGTTTTCAAGGACCCGTCTTACTTGACTCTTAAAATATTACAAATGAGCGAGTCATACGACACACAATACAAGGAGTAGGCTACATGTATTCAAAGTATTGATATTCTAAATCAAACCCACCCTAAAGACAACGCTTGTCCGATCCACCAGGACCATTATTTACACGTGTTGGTATTATTATGTCGTGTTCCTTTTTAAAGAGCAATATCATTATTTGAATGGATTTTTCTTTTTGTTCTTGCTTCTATTGTTCTCCTGAGCTTGCCTTTTTGGTCTTCGTCTCCCTTCATATATCCGCATTCAGTTTTCAAAGACTCTTAATCTTTTGTACCAATGACGATTGTTTCAAATTCAGGTGAATGTTAACTTACAAATTTGCAAATGGAGCCGATCTTGTCAGTTCTGCTCTTGATAAACTTCAACCGACACACCGTTACTGATGTGAACAATAGGCACGAAGGATCTCCATGCTTTTTTTCCCGTCCTCATTATCAGAGTTCTGCGCCGTACTTGATGGCACCCACATTGAGACAAGAGGCGTGAAAATACGGAGATGATTATCCCAAATTATCCACCCGTCTTCCCTACCTGAACCCGAGATCATACCCGTTACTTTGGCAGTTTAGCACGACAGTAAACTTTTTAGCTTCCACTTTATTAGCCATTACATGAATTAGTGTCAAACCTGCGCGGAATAAAACGTCTACTTACTTTTGGCCCCTCTCCAAGGTTTGGCCGTCCTTTTTCCAAGCCGTGATGCCGTGAGGGTGTGCATAAATCTGGCACTCAAGAATTGTCTCCTTGCCGAGGCGCTGTCCTATCCTTTTCGGATTCGGAAGAACAACTTCTGGGGGATCTAATAAAAGAAGGAATTAACAATTTAACTGAACAAATAATAAAAAAAACGCTAGCCGTCAATCCTAAAGGCGCATGTCAAAAGGGTGCACGAAGGCAGGGTATAGATAAGACGATGTCAAGAGCTCACCTCGACCCGCACTCACAAGAACAAGTTATACATGTATATACATAGGTCTAATACACATACACACACACACGCACACACACCCACATACACACACACACACACACACACACACACACACACACACACACACACACACACACGCACGCACACACACATAAACACACACAGCATATTCATCCACAGAGTAACCAAAGAGATACATCATGTAGGAAGGAGGGAGTGAAATCGAAAAAAGAAGGGAAATATTAAATGGTACAAGAAAGCGAGAGAGAGAGAGAGACAGAGAGAGAGAGAGAGAGAGAGAGAAAGAGAGAGATAGAGAGAGAGAGATAGAGAGAGATAGAGCGAGAGAGAGAGGGAGAGACAGAAAGAAAGAGAGAGAGACAGACAGACAGACAGACAGACAGACAGACAGACA